TATTTTAAAATATCAAATGCTGTCAGACTCGGTGGAACCCATCTGTAATCCCAGGTACTCCAGAGGCTGAGCCAGGAGGATCTCAAGTTCAAGATCAGCCTCAGAAACTTGGGGAAACCTGTCTCAAAGTAAAAGTACGTAGGATGTAGCTCAGTGGTAAAGCACCACTAGGTTCAATTCCCAGTACAAAAAGAAAGAAAGAAAAATCAAATACTGCACTTATTCTAGTTTATATTATATGCCCTGTGTCTTAAAACAAGGATTATGTGTAGGAAATGCCCATTGTGATCAATGTGGAAAACTAAAACTCAATAAATTTAAATACAGTTTGCATTGTAATGCCTTTCAACACAGAATCAAAGACTTTTAAGTTCTTTGTATAGAGCAAGAATATAGAGGCCAAATATGCTCTTTACATAATAAAAACCCACTTAAAAACTACTTGCTTTGTAGATAAAATTTTCCTATCTTTAAGTAACTTCAAATTACTACTTTTATCTATTTAAAAATTAACCTGGAAGGACACAAAAGACTCAATATGAAGTACATTAAAATAAAAATAGAAAAGTAAGGTAATAAACATTGATAGACTACATTCCACATTCATCTTAAGGAGTCAAAAATCACTTAATTCTAAACACATTCTCATTAACATCTTATATAGGTTACTCAACATTACAATATAAGCATCATAACTCAACTTCTCAAATCCTTTGCTATAAATTCTGTAAAAAGGAGGAGTTAAAATGAATGACTTCTAAAGTTCCTTTCAGATTTGAAATGTTAAAAGGTTCATAACTATAGAAAATTAATTTTAAGTTATGATATCATATATTTTTACTCCTATTTTTAAAGATGTCTTAAATACTTACAGCTTGATTAGGCAGATTGTCAGTCTTAAGTTCTCTGTGATTGGAATACTGAATATAAACTGGCTGGCTCCGAAGTTGAGGAGTAACAGGAGTGTAATAATTCACCATAGTAACTGCAGCTTCCTCAGAAGCCATTTCTAAGAAAGCCTGCAACAAGCATAAGAAGGTAAGGGGGAAAGCTCGTCTTTTTAAAAAAGACAGTTCACTATTTTATCAGTCTAACTCACTCTAAAACTCATGCATTCTCAACAGAAATAATATTTCCTCAAAAAGATGAAAAATTTTTTGTTCCAAAGTATATCATGGATGGTAAATAGAAATATATTGGAAAAGTTGGGTTTGAGAAAGGTTTGGACTTGAGAAACTGTCGGTTGATTAAATAATTTCATGTGTTTTATCTTCCTATTATTTTTGCTTCTTCTAAAATTTAAAAACAATTAAAAAGGTTAAAATAAATATATAAATCAACATTATAAATTGATGTTTTCAGAGACTGTGATTTAATAGTTTTCTGTGAAAACTCTGGGGCTAATGAGCTATATTCTACATCAAGATACTGAAATTTCATGAGGCAATAAGGAATTTTTTTTTTTTTTTAAGTCTCAAATGCCCTTTAGAGGAAAAAAGGAAGGAGAGAGCATTGTACTAACTATTTAAATTCTTGGGGTTTTTTTCTTTCCTTTTCTTTTGGTGGTGGTTGTGAAACAGCAGCACAAATAAAATTAAACTAAGCATTCATTTTTCAATAGTTATTATTTCATACTTTGCCAACTAGAAACCAACTTATCTGATCTGATAGCAAGAATGAGAGTTGTCAAGACTTGGTAGAAAGGGAACCTATATCTAGCTATGACAATTTCGATAATTTAGAGGTCATTAACACCTCTGAACCTTAGATTTCCTCATCTAAAATATGAAGTACTGCCCAATATGATCTTTAAGTCTCCTCACATTTTAGGTAGAATTCCTGTTAGGTGATCAGTCTTGAGATTTTACAGGAAAGAACTATTGGAAAGCATCTTTTTCAAGTGGTGGTGCCCAGAATTAGTTTGTACTAATTTTACAAATATGTTCTCAATCAAGACCCATGTTACACTTTGAAGCAAAAGTTACATGTAAGTATTCAGAGTTCTTTTGCCTATTTTATATATTTATATTATATGCTTATACACATGCACACACATAAACACTATATCTACACATCTGTATGCTACATATATTTCTTGTGTGGCATCGTAATAAATTACTACTGATCAAAATCAACACAAACCTCTAGTTAGATAACCCAACTATTTTTTCACTATAAAACATTTAATTAGCAAGCACACAGCAACCACTTCAACTTATGTATAAAACACTTAAAATTTATAAAATATATACTTATTAACAATAAAATTTACTGAACACAGAAAATGGCAAATATCTATAAATCCAACTATGCCTTTGTTTATAGTTATTCTTAACTGTCAGATGTTTTCATATGAAGTCCAGTAAAGGAATATCAAATATATAAATGTTAAATATGATGTGTAATGATATCAACCAAATGTCACAACTGAACCAATTAGATGTTTCAAATTAACAATAATTTCCCAAGAGGTAGTTATGTTAGCCCATGAGGGTGAATCAAATATCACAAGTCAAGGAATCAATTCACAATAAACATAAAATTCCACTATTTTAAAGAGACAAAAGTGGCTTCAAGTCATTATACATCTAAAAGATATAAATGTCCAAGATATTCTTTAAAAGTATCGGTAATAGACTTTTTCTAATATTTATAAGACAGGAGTATAACAATGATTAAGGCAAGGAAAAAAAAAAAAAGCTGGGATTCAAACTCCAAAGCTTCTTCTCAGCAAAAAAAATAATCACTGAGGTGAACAGAGAGATTACAGCTTGGGAGCAAATTTTTACCACACATACATCAGATAGAGCACTAATCTCTAGTATATATAAAGAACTCAAAAATCTTAACACCAAAAAAACAAATAATCCAATCAATAAATGGGCCAAGGAACTGAACAGACACTTCTCAAAGTGATATACAATCAATCAACAAATATACGAAAAAAATGTTCAACATCTCTAGCAATTAGATAAATGCAAATCAAAACTAATATTTTATCTCACTCCAGTCAGAATGGCACCTATTAAGAATACAAATAACAGTATGTGTTAGCAAGGATGTGGGGAAAAAGGCACACTCATACACTGCTGTTGGGACTGCAAAATGGTACAGTCAATATGGAAAGCAATATGGAGATTTCTTTGAAAACTTGGAATGGAACCACCTTTTGACCCAGCTATCTCTCTCCTGGATTTATACCAAAAGAACTTAAAAGCAGCATACTACAGGGACACGGCTACATCAATGTTTATTGCAACACAATTCACAATAGCTAAATTGTAGATCCAACCTAGATACCCTTCAGTAGATGAATGGATAAAGAAAATGTGATATATATACACAGTGGAATATTACTCAGAAATAAAAGAGAATAAAATCATAGCATTTGCAGGAAAATGGAGTTGGAGAATATAATGCTAAGTGAAGTAAGCCAATCCCAAAAAACCAAATGCCAAGTGTCTTCTCTGATATATCGATGCTGATTCATAATGAGGATGAGGAGGAAGCATGGGAGGAATAGACGAACTTTAGATAGGTCAAAGGACAGAGAAGGGAAGGGGAGTATAGGGGTGGGAAAGATGGTGGAATGAGATGGACATCATTACCCTAAGGTACATGTATGGAAACACATATGGTGTGACTCTACTTTGTATTCAACCAGAGACATGAAAAGTTGTGTTCTATTTATGAAACATGATTTGAACTGCACTCTGCCATCTCATATTACTTATTAGAATAAATAAAATTTTAAAAAATTTTTAAAAAAAGAAAAAAAGCTATGGCAATAGTTTCTACCTGTTTTTTAATCTCCATTCAATAAAGAATTTGTAAACATTATTCCAATAATATTCTCCATAAGGGAAGAAAGTATATTTTTACTAATTCTTTGCTGAGTGTTAAGAAATAGTTCAATTTCTATCATCAGTCACATAAAGGAAAAGTTTAACAATGTCTTTGGAATATGTGATTCTTGTCATAGGAAGGGTTTTTTTTTTTTCCTCCTAGAGTATACAGAATCTAGACTTTTATATGTAAAAATAAATTTCTCACATGAAATCCAATAATCATTTATGATTTTCCAAAGTAGCTAGTCAAAGAATTCAGTCTTCATCATGTGGGGTGGGGAGACAACTAAAAGTCATTGCCCGGAGGACTTAAAATAGCCCCTCTCTTCCCCCATCATTCCAAATGCTCTGGGAAAGGTTATAGCCCATAATTGGCTCAGTAATCATGAAGTGTATTACTAAATAGGTATTTTCTAAACAGAATTTATGATTTAAGAAAAGTAATTAACAGGTACAGTTAGCTTACAGATAAACCCCAGAATAAACAGTAAAGACAAGAAAAAAAAACTGTGACCTTGCCTACTGCCTATCACAACCAATATTAGAGATGATCATGCTTGCTTTTTTCAAGTCACACAGACCACAGGATTTCCAGTAGTAGCAACTCTTGTTTAACTCTTGTTAAATAATAAAGAAAATAGCCCCCATGTACTAGTCTCCAATAGATGTAAGAAATGTGCACACATGAGGAATACATACTAGAGCATGTTTGTAACCTCTCTGAATCTTAGTAACCTCATCTGAATTAA